TAACTTACCTTTTCAGGTGATATTAAGCCTTTCTTTTCTGCATCATTGATCATTGCCAATGCTGGTCTGGTGCAAAATAAACAAGATAATTTTGATTCTTTAAAGCATAGAACTGGAAGCAAATACACATAAGAAAATAGTTTTTGTACCTGTCTTTGATGCTAGAAGTAGGCTGGAACATCTCTTGTTTCACAGCTATATATGCTCCACATCCTTCTGTCACTTTTTTAAGATAAACCATTGGTGTTTTCCCAATTAACTGAAATTTGAGATTTTAACATGTCAAATTACATAATATGACAGTTGTGAAGTTGTTTTTAACTTTCTTATTGGATACAAATAATAGTTTGAGATTATACCTTGCCTAGAGAAAATTATACCTCATAAATAGGTCAAAAACTACGTTTTATACATAAATACTAAATATTGAACACTTGAAGAAATTTCTGATTTCGCCATTGACAATATCCTAATAGAAAGAGACACAAATGACACAGCCAGAACCTGATTTCAAGATATAACTCTTGTAATTTTTTTTTACATAAACATAAACACTTACCATAAGAGAGATCTAATAAATATAAAAAACAGAGAAAAATAATAGTAGTAAAAATTGGACTAACTTGAGAAACTTCAGACTTGATGTTAGTATGAGGAAGTTGTGTAGAGAACAATCTGTTGCTAGCTGCTCTCATCAAATCAACATTATTACCTAATGATCTTTTCTTCAAGAATCTGCTTAAAGTTGCCATTGATGAATTCTCAAAATTATTGCACTTTAAAATTTACACAAAAAAAAAGGTACTCTCTATGCAATTGGGCTTTTTTTTTGTGTACCTCACAGTGGAAAAGAAAGATAGGACACTTTTTTATAACCAAAAAGTTTTGGACTATTCAACCGGACTTCTTTGCTGTATTTTTTGTTTGGACTCTTCAACATGAAAGTTAGCAACAAAAATTGCCAAGTTGTAAAACAACATGTTTGTTTCGGAAGATTTAAATTTGACGGGTTCAACTTTTTTATATCGGATTGTATGTACAAGTACATATCTATATATATATATATATATATTTCGTGTTAAAAGATGTTGGGTTCAACTCAAATCATCGAGTTTATGATGTTGCATCTATCCCTAGTTATATTTTTCTCTTATACTACTCCTCTGTTTAAAAAGAATGACGAATTTTTACAATCTTTTTCAATTTTGAGTATCATATTCATTATATTTTTTGTATTAGATAAACTTTGCATATGACCATCAATTTTTCATAGCGTTTATCTAAAATGATATTTAAAATTAATTGAATTTGGTACTCTACCAAAAACTTGAAAAAATTAGGATTTATGAGTGATTAATCAAAGTTAATTAATACGTTTTAGATGTGGGACCCGAGATGGCTAATTGTAATTAATCAGTGCATGCACCTCTTGTTCATATGATTTTCTTACCTACTTCCCTAATTACTTATCCAATTTTATTTTATTCTATTTTGTCTATTTTGACAAAATAAAGAAATAACAATTTTCTTTTACCTATCATACCCTCAATTAATTATTTTGAAAAAGGTAGAATTTTTTAAAAATCTTAAATTTTTAATTTATTCACATCATAATTAATAGGGATAAAATGATAAATTCACTATATCAATCATTGTTTTCTTAATATGTGTGTCATTTCAAAAGTCGACAAGTAATTAAGGGACATATGGAGTATTAAATAGTCGGAAGAGAACCGAGTTTAATTTATTGCTAAAATTGTTTTCGTAAAAATATGAAGAGTAAAATTATGCATTTCCTTCTCTAGGGATAAGATTTTTGTGCATTTTTTTTTAAATTCTACTTTATAAAAGAGTATATTGAATATGTTATTATTATTACTATTATTATATAAGAATTTGAGCCTTATATTTGTCCATGTTGTATCCTAATGCATAATTCATTTTAATTTTATTGATTTGTCACAATCGGGTTCCGCAGGCCAGGTGATGTGTAAATCGTAATGTCAATTTTAATATTTTTCGTTGATTTGTGTAATTCGGATAAGCCAAGAAAAAAGAAAAAAAAAAGAAAAAGAAAGGTCATTTACTCTACTCCATTAATTGAAGATTGGACCAATATGGATTTATTTGTCCACAAAATTTATAACGAAAGCCAGATTATTTATACATAAAAATAGTTTTTTTAAAATAAAATATGAAATTTAAATTATTTAATTTTATCAAATTTGTAAGTGAAATTTTTTCTAACTCCTGCCCTGATTATATCAGTGTCAAGCTTAAACGTGTAAAATAGAAATGTTGTCCTGATGTCAATTTAATGAGATTCTAAGTACTTGGTACATATATTTTCTTAGTCCAATATTATTTGTCCATTTTTTTCTTTACGCATTTCTTAAGAAATTATAAATTTTTAAAAATATTTTTACTAATTTACGCTTTAACTTTTTTAAGATACTCTATATTCATGTGTCTTATCCATTAATATCAAGATTAACAATGGAGAAATTTTATAGTATCTATATATATTTTTTAAAAGGTAACGGGAAAATGGAAAAAATAAATAAATTATATCTTGATTTCATACATTGACAAGCAATTTAAATAAATATTTTTAATAATATGGACAAGTAATATAAAACGGAAGGAATAATATTTTTAGTAGCACATGAAAAATATAATCACAACAACATTATTAATTGAGGGCAGATTAAAAGAATCCCATGTGATGCAAATGAATCGAAATCCCAAAAAAGGAACAACCACTGTAGCAGTAGGCCGTCCATACCAATGCATTTGTCTTCAATATAATCATCTCAATGTTGCACATACATTATTGTCCTTTCATTAAAAAAAATAATTTAAAAACAATAATCATAATTAAAGTTAATGGTGAAAGATTCAAAATTTACATGTAGTGAATTATGAAATATACATCTAATTCTATTTGTACATATTTTTTGCACATATATAAAAATGTTTGATCATAAAATACTGAATTTTGTCCAACTTGAACTTATTTGTGAATTCGCTATTGGGAGAAATAGATGCTCAACCTGCAATGTCCGATAATGATATTGAAATAGTGAATCTATTAATACTATGTAACTTTGAATCTAACGATCGACCTATTAACCTTTCGGTATAGAGATCCATGTTGCAACAATAACATTAATAACATGTGTTTGGCCTTTTTTTTTCCCAATGAAATTATAGTTGCTAAAAATATAGAGTATAGATTAATTTCAATAGAGATGGTTTGTTTGTGTATGAGAAATACATTCTCATTTGATAAAAGTATTGGGCTTGGCCTGGTTGGAGGCACCTAGCCCAACCCATCTCAATTTCAGCAAACTAAGACAAAGTACATGGAGTGTAATTTTAGTGGCACGCATGACACATGAGATGTGGAAGTAGAAGTGAAGATCAATACACTAGTTGTTATACTATGTAACTTTGAATCTAACGATCGACCTATTAACCTTTCGGTATAGAGATCCATGTTGCAACAATAACATTAATAACATGTGTTTGGCCTTTTTTTTTCCCAATGAAATTATAGTTGCTAAAAATATAGAGTATAGATTAATTTCAATAGAGATGGTTTGTTTGTGTATGAGAAATACATTCTCATTTGATAAAAGTATTGGGCTTGGCCTGGTTGGAGGCACCTAGCCCAACCCATCTCAATTTCAGCAAACTAAGACAAAGTACATGGAGTGTAATTTTAGTGGCACGCATGACACATGAGATGTGGAAGTAGAAGTGAAGATCGATACACTAGTTGTTATACCCGAGAGAAAAAGTTCCAAGTATTTTAAAAGGTCGATACATGATCAAGGAGACACGACAAATGATATTGATATTGCAAATCGTATTGAAACATGATGGGTGAAATGCATGGAGGCTCGTCTCTCGGATATTGTGCATAAGAATAATATGTTACCAAGGTTTAAATGTAAGTTTTACAAGGTTGTGGGTATATCAGCACCAGTTGTGTGGGCAGAAAATTCGTGAAAGGTGTCCAAAGTAAAGCTAACATAGAAAAAAAATGTGGCCATGGGGAATTCAACCTAGTGGCAAACAAATTTTTGCACACCATTGCCACTAAGCTACCACTCTATATACAACCAAATATTTCATTTTTTAATTAATTAACCATTTAAAGTAGACCACATTAAACAAAATATACAAAATGTAGATGTGGTGATTCAAACTTGGGTATTGTGTACATATTGGGCACATTTTTGCCACTAAACTACGACTCATTGTTGTTGTTGAGGGTGTCCAAAATGCTCAATATATCAATTTAAAGTAAGATTTGTCATATATATATATATATATATATATACAATATAATTTTCCGACGAAATGTGTTCAATTGGACACCCTGGAGCAACCGTAGCTCCGCCATTGACTTAACACTATTGTATAAGGTAGGCTAATAAAAATGTCCATGTTCAAAAGATGAAGGTAACATGAATGTAGACAGAGGCGTATCTAGAGGGGGTGCCGTATAATTTTCGCGTAATTTTGTTTTTTCTAATGTATATTAATATTTATTGCGCTACATATATTTTATACATTGCTATTTTATTCTCTCTCTATTTCAAAATAAGTGAATTGTTGAGACAATGCATATTAATTAAGAAAAAAAGTTGAGGACATAAAATAAATACCACTTTTACCCTTTTATTCTCACACTATTCTAAATAATTCAAAGTAAAATTATAAATATGAACAATTAATTCTCTTGAATTTATCACTTAGAAAATATAAATAAGAGCCAAAAATGGAAAAAGTTTGTAACATCTCTCTTGAATTTTGAACAATTTAGAATTATGAAAAAAGATTCAACAATTCACTTTTTTTTTTTGAGTCGAGGGTATGATTTTCTCGGTATAAATAAATAAAAGTAAAAATTTACGTAGAGCAGTGCATTCCAAACCTATAAATACACATGCAGATGATCATCTAAACAAAATTAAACATCACTAGCTACAATGTTATATCAATTGCGTAGATTTTCTTACACAATCTGCTTCTTCTTGCTCTTGATTGCCACCGGAACCCTAAGATTTCACCGTTTCGCCGATGGCCTACAACGGAGGATCCACGTTTCCGACGATCTTAACGACGTCGTAGACGAGGAGGCTGAAGAATTGAAGCCCGCAAACTCCGAATCTGCCCCGCCCCCAAATGATGTCGAAAAAATGAGTCCATCAGATATCCAATCTGAAATGATGAGGCGGGTTCTAGGACCCGTTTTCGGATTCGTTAAGCTCCGACTCGGTACTCGTCGGACTCCGGTCGGTATCTCTATATACCTTTGAATGCTTTGTTTTCATTGATAATTTAATTACTGATTTGTTAATTAATCAGCTGGTAAGTTAATTTCTTTGCTGAAATTGAATATGATAGATCTATGTCAATGTAATTTCATAGAGTCATTCGAAAATGTCAAATCTTATTGCAGCAAGAGCTAACTATCGAGACTTTAGACTATATGGTGTTTAAACAATACCCGGACGCTTTTTACTATGGTTAGAGACTTTTATGGTAGTGTAGATATAAATGTGAGATTTCGAGAATCATCAATTCTAGACTGCCTTGAGATTACATTAATTTTTTAAAAATTTCGTATTGGGACGAAAGAGGTCATAATAGAGTGGAATGGATATATTGAAATCATATATGCGCAACAAGTTTGGGATTAAACCATAGTGATTGATTGATTGATGTTTGTGAGGTAAAGGGAAGGATTTGTTAAGGATCAAAACTTGCATCTAGAAGGTGTGGGAGCTTTATAAATGAGCTGCCAACTACACAAACTTGTCTCACTAACTGAAAAAGATTACTCAGCTTTTTAGTTATAGGTATCAATGTTAATTTTCTTGTTTGGCTATTGTTGTTGGATGCAAGGTAATAGAACCTTATTGGTTTAGATTATAATGATTTTCATTTTTTCAGGAGATGGTTACTCATGTTGCCAAGCGGTGGGTCAATCTAGCAAGATCTGAAGGAATGGAGACAAAGTTCATAGGTGTTGATTGGACCACGATAATGTTCACCATGGAAAAAGGTCGAGACACAACAGAGGTTTGTTTTACTTTCCCAAATCAGATGTCTTCTAATTCTGTAACTGCTGATATTGCTTATGGATGCTTTTAGCAAAGAGCTTGTTCAAAAGGGTGAAACAATTAGGGAGTTTGGTAGAAAGTTGGTCTGTTTTTCCATATTAACTATTTAAGAATATGATCGAAGAGAATCAATCTTAACACACACCACAAATGAAGAGCAGATTAATTATCACTTGAAGGAGCTCTATGGGAAGACTTTCGAGAATTTGGAAAAGGGAGATGAAAAGTGAAGCTTCAAAGAAACACAACTATAACACTTTCCCTTTGTTACACCTGCTTTATGTCAACCCTGAACTCTCTGTAAATATTAGCTCTTTCTCCTCGAACACTCAGTAAGTAAGCCCACGAACCCGAAGGTGGTGTAGCAGGGGAGGGTTAGGGTGAAAACATCAATTAGTCCTTTAGAAAAATACCTCCAGCGGTACTACATTACTCCATTTTTAGATATAATGTCGAGCAACTTGAGGTTAATCCTGCATTTGTCAATTTCATTGTGTGCTGCCAACAAAACCATATTCCTTTTATTCAAAGGAGGTATTCTCAAATGCAAAATGTTAAGTGTGGTTACTTATGCTAAGGGAATTTCAATCCGACAATAATTTGGTGTTGTTATTATGCTCATCCAGGAAAGTAGAATGAATTACAGGAAGCATTCTCTCATTGTTTGGATATTAACATTAATGTAACTTTGCTAATTATTGTTGGACAATCATCAATTAGTGCCGTATAACTAGTTGCTAGTCATGGCTTCCTTCTTTTGGTATAAAATTTTTTACTCGACTCTCATTTTTTTCTTAATGTGGCACATGCAAATTCCAATTTACAATCAGTTTGCTTTAAATTTTACCCCTGCAACTGCTTTTACTGCATGTTTTGAGCTGGTTTAACTCAGATTCTGAATGCTAGAGGGTTTGAGATTCTGTAAGTCAATTTCGCAGTTGAAAAAGTTTTTGCTGGAACAAGAAGAAGCATATGAGATTAACATAGGGGACCAACTATTTCGAAGACCAGGGGACCCTCCTTTTGATGAAGTATTCGAGATTGAGGAAGAGAAGAGCAGACACTCTGAGTTGTAATGGCTAGAAACAAACCTTTCTTTTCTCCTCTACTCCTTTCTTGATTTGCAGGAATTTGTACATTGGTTCATTCTTCCGTGCAGCTCATTCAACGATCCTCCAACAGCATCTATTATGAGACAGGTTACTGGACATGGCGGACATCTTACCTCACTCTTTTTCTGCTGAGTTTTCTGGTTACCATCTTGTTTCCCTTCTTGTTACCCAACATATCATTCATGATATTTTTTGTAACTTATAGCTCTGTTTGGCTATTAAGTTACACATGTAGATTCAATAAGTTAGTTGCAGTAGGATGCTAACATTTCAATATTGAACATCTTATAACAGGAAATATGAGTTAATATCTCAAAAGGTCACGAACCATGTGTTGTGCTCATTTGCAATACATTCTTAAAATAGTTTCTTCTTATATTATTAAGTTTTGGTAAGTAGAATTATTCGATATGTTGTATCGGTGAACAATAATACAATGATTTCATTGAAGGGTCAAGATGTATGTAAAATTGCATGAACACCATTATTATATAAGTTATAAAAAGAACCATATTCTGCCTATTAATTATGTCTTGGTATTCTCCTTTTAATAATGATTAATGATGAGAAAGAAATAATATATCAATAAACTATACTCAACAATTATAGACATCATGTGCGTCGTGTCTAACATCTCCTCCACTCCTTAGATTGTTGTAAATGTACGTGGAGATTTAACTAGGTAAAATAGTAATACAATCTACATGTAATAAGTTAGCTCGTTTTGATAATTTATCAGTAATCACTAGTACTAATAGTGATTATGTAATGATAAATATGTAAATATATAAGTATCTTTTTTTGTAAAAAAAATAAATAATTTTCACTTATAAATTCTGCCGCAATATATTTATCTATATTCATTAACATAAAAAACAGTTTTTTCCGAAATTTCATCAGTGTTAGTATAAATTTGACGTATCTAATTCATGAATCACATGAATTTTTTTAGAATTATGTATGTTAATGTATTTGGACAAATGTGAATAATATTAACGAAAATTTCATTTAACAAAAGGCAAAAATTAAGATAAAAATAATACTTCACTAATAACCTTTTTCCCAAAATACAAAACGCACGTCAACCACTTCTCCACTCGTACAAGCAAACCGCTAAAAACCGGGAATACTTGAATCGGGCCCACAGAATTTGACCCAACGCCGCCGTTTTGGTAAAGAGTAAAACCGCTATCCTCACTTCATCAGCAAGTCATTTACACTGCAGCTTTACCGGTTTTGCCGGTTGTCTTTATCTCATTCACCAAAAAGATCTTAACTGTATATAAGCCATTCTCTCTCTCCGCTCATTTTTCGACCCAGTTTCCAATCATTCTCGCCGGAGCTCCGACGTTATCTTCACCGATCACGTATCTCTCACCGCTTATAGGTTTTGTAAGTATTCGGAAATTCAGCTCCGGTTTTAGTTTTTTAGTTTATCGATTTTTTCTCCACTGATTTGTTGATCGGATTATTTGATTGTTGGATTGTTTTGAGTTCAATCTGTTAATCTGATTTAGCTTTGTTCGGTAAATTAATAAGTGCAGTGGATTCGGTCTTCGGATCTGTGTTATGTACTTCTGCTGAATGCTTGTTTGTTACGTAACTTCTTCTCTGTCTATACGATTCTGTACATGTTGCTGTTTCTCCTATTAATGATTTTATCTCTGTTGTGTAAATTACATTGATTTTACTCGAAATTGGAACTTTTTAGGGTTTGGAATAGTGTTGTTCAAAAGTAACTGATCCGTAGATTGAAAAATATTGGCAGCTGAATTTGGTAGTGAAAAATTGTAAACTGCTGAATGGATTCAAAGTTCACAGTTCACAAAAATAAGCACAAACACACGCAGAGAGAGGACCATAAGTTTTCTTCAAGTTTGTCCTGATTATGTTAGCAGTTTGCATGTTTTGAAAAGTACAAGAGATGGTTCCATTGGAATAAATGTGACTTTAGAGGTATTGAGCAACTTCCATGTGTAATTGCCTTGAAATCTTGTGGTTTTATGTCCTCAATGTCGCAAGTAGCATGCTATAAGACTTCTAAGTTCGACTATTCTATAAAGAATTACTTGATGTCATACTTGCTAATTTCGTGCATTTTTGGTACCAGAAGTTTGTAGAAATGTTTTAGAGTTCAATAAACTTATCATATGCGTCCTCATAATTTCTTACTGATTTTCTTCGGAATAAATTTGACATTTTGTTATTCAGAAGGCATGATGCCTTTTAAGCACTTGACCTCTGATTTCCTGTGTTTTCTCTTTTTAAATCTCTTCAGTTTCAATTTCTAAAAGATGGCAAGTAATGAGGAAGGTGAAGAAACTGCTCCTCGTGGAAATGAGTGGGAAGTTGTATCACTCACACAATCAGCATATGCTGCTGCCCCTGGTCCAAAGCAGGTTGACTCGAATGATGATAATGGCAGTAGCGCAGAGTATGTAGCTGAAACTTCCCAGGCAATGTTTATGTCTGGACACTTTGTCTTTCCACCAAGCCAACATGAGAATTTGCCATTGGAACCTGATGTAAATGAGATCAATAATGAACAGGAAGGTGAAGATGCTACTCCAGAACTTGTTGCTAATGAAGAGGGTAAATCAGATTTTTATGAAGGAAGTACAGAAACTAAAGGATCGAGCATACCAGAATTTCCTGGTATTCAATTTTTTGATGAAAAGGGTAACCAGTTATCTATTGGTGCAGAATTTGAAGAAGATGCAGCCCTGCAACGCTTTAGTTTGGTAGACAAAGAGCAGAGTATCTTTGGTGCTGCTAACTATAGTTCATACCAGAGTGAAGAACCCATGGGTTTCTCCGCAACAACAGAGGAAACCAACGTTCTTGAAGAATCAGTTGAACCCTCTCACCAGGGCTTAGAATCGGGCAGTTCGAATTTGCCAAAGACAAAAGATGAAGATGATTATGATGCCGCTAACCTTCCTTGTCAAGCATGGTGGAAAAGACGGGCTGCTTCCCTAGTTGCCCATGCGAAAGACACAAACACATTATGGTCTATTTTCATTGCTGCTGCTGTTATGGGCCTTGTGATTATTGGTCAGAAGTGGCAGCAAGAAAGGTGGCAAGTATTGCAAATGAAGTGGCAGGCTGGAGTCCATAGTGAGGTGAGTTGTTGCTGTTTGTTAAAAAATAATTGAAATGGTATCCCCATTGAGTTGAATAGTTCAACTTTGTGTCCATCTGCAAATGAGTTTTTCTTTTTTAAGAAAGGAAAATGTGGAAAAAACTAGCTAGAGTCACTTTGTAATACTTGATCTACCAATTAAAGTATTACAAAGTCGCTCTAGGTGGTCTTTTCTGCATTTTTGTTGATGCAATACTTGCCAATTGGCTGACAATTAGAAAATCCAGGGAATTAACTAGCAAACAGGATATTCTGATTGAGATAACTAAAAGAAGAAACACAAGATTGACCTTGAATAGGCGTATTTAAATAAGATCCAGCTGATAAAAATGTCTTCAGCTTTGCTGCAACCCATTTTCTTTGTCAACATTATCAAGTACCTCACTAGATTTCCTCCCTCCTCCATACCCAAGTATTCACTTTTCTCTCCTCTTTTTGTTTTCATTTCATTGGTCACCTGAGGTCCTTGATAGATCATCAGTTTTGCACCATTACTAAAGTTGTTTTCATGAAAATGACTTTTGAATGCACACTGAGGCCTGTACCATATCTTGACATATACTTGCGCAAGCTCCTTTTCACAAGGGCATCTCATTATATTCTTTCATGACCTACTTTTGGCGAAAGTGCGGTTGCTAATGTCTTTCTTGTGGTGAATCTAGTATATAAAATTTTTGTTGTCGAACTCTGAAAGAGTACAATCTTTCCCTTAAAATAAATACATGAACTACTTTGCAGATCTTACAGTTGAGTTGATTTCCTTCCCGTTGTTTTGGGGGGATATGTTAGTAGTATGTTACTGTTATGTATTTGTCCTTGGATCTGTATGCAAGAATTCTTTTTTCTCGGATTCTCTTCGGTGCTGTAGACCCTTGTGATCTGCATTTATTCATCACCATCTATTTCTGATTAAGTAGTTTATCTCTCTCAGGAATAAGTGGACTCCACTATCCATCTGCTTCAGAAGAGGATGGAATATACTTGTACTGCATAGCCTCTAGTTACACCTATGGTCTGCCTATTTTTAGATGGTTTACAAATCTTATACCTGTTTATATAGAGAATTAGGGAAGAAAATAAGTGCACTGTTTTATTTGGGGAAAGTGAGAGACCCTTGTATGATTTTGAACAATGCCATATCATTCCAATCCGACAATTAAATCTTCAAGGTCATTCACAATCTCCAATTACAGTTAGTGCCTCAATCTGTAGACATAACTTGCTTTCAGAATTCCTTTTTGCTCATGTTTTGACGATGAATTACTGAACTTTTAAATCACCTTAGGATAAGGTTTCTAATTTTTTTTGGGTACGTTTTCATACTGATTGTTTGAAGAATGAATGCTGCTAAGCCTCGAAAGTGCAACATTTTCCCTAAGAAACAATTTCTCTCTATAAAGTCCTCTAGGTTCTAAATATCTCTGGAGAAAAGAACCGCTGGTAAAGGAGAAGATGCAGGATTATAGCCATGGTTTCTGTTTCTCTTTGTTTGATATTTATGATCTTCTTTAATTGATAAATCTAGAAGCCTTGCAAAAAGAGGAGACTCAAAATAGCGACCAAGGTGTTGCCTATCATAAAAAAAGGCACTGGAAGTACAATGCACATGCTAGCCTGTGAAAATTTTCTGGAATCTGCACGGAATTTGATTTGCATTGCAGTCACACAAAAAACAGCTGTGGGATCTCTTCTGAAATATTAGTGGTGTGCAATGGGTGATGCCAAAGAACTTGAAAGACCTTTTGGTTTGCTGGCAGAATCAGAAAGTTGGGAAAAAACTGGAGATAATCTGGATTCTAGAAAACCATACCCCTTTGCATCTTTTGGACCATTTGGTTGGAAAAGAAATGAGAGATGTTTTGAGAATCATTTAGATATTGTAAACAATAGGCGCCTCAAAATCTACATTCTGGTATAGGGGTAATATGATAGAAAATTAGCGACAGTTCGAGGAATTTATAGTAGT